TATCTATTATTGCACTTCGTTTTCAAGGTAGTGGTGAGAGATTCAGTTTTTCCAGTTTATTACTTCCAGATTCTTGACTGATTCCTTCTGGAAGGACGTTTCACTGATTCTTACTACTGAGTAATCTTCTTTGCTGTCCGTGTCGATAGAGTTGCAATCTTCTTCTTATTGTTCTGGAAATTTGACATTTGCTACCGGTGATCAGTTACAGCACTTTGCGAAGTGCCCTTTTTTCCCGCAACCACGGCACGTGACGCCTCGAGCTGAACTATTTTCTTTGTGTTCTGGTGTGAACTTGTTTCCACAGAAGTAACACGGTTTTAATTGGCCACCAGAAAAGTTCATTTGCAATTTTTGTTGAAAAATTTATCTTTCCTAGTGTTCTATTGATCCTGCTCTGTACGTTGTTTTTGGTTCGGAGTGACATGAGGGGTTATCTCTGTTATCGGGTTGTATGCATAGCTGTCTCTGATTGTCTGAAAACTTCATTTTGGCACTAAAAAAAGTCATGTAAAACTTCTTTTTTCAATGTCCTCAGTCCAACCACATTTTGAAGCTTGTCACGCTAATTTGAGATTTTAAAAAAATTCTAGACCTTCTTCATCGCCGTGTGATTAGTTATATAGTTGAATCCCTTCGATGATGTTATTTTTCTCACGTTTAAAAAAGCTGCTGTTCGCAAGCGCCGTGAAAAAATCTGAAAGTGACTGAGTTGAGGTTGATGTGTGCATGCTGTTGAAAGAAACTCTTCTGCATTTGGTTACCCAAGGAAAAAGAATATGCGAGATTTAATTTTTGCTTCTGCTTCATGAAAGTACGCTTGGGCTGATTTTGGGCCCCTTTTTTGCCATTTTTTGTTTGTTTCGTTGGTCTCTCAAACTGCTGCTTCGTTTCTCGCTATTCTGTTGTCCGCCTCAGTCTGAGTTTCTGATGGCGGAATAGTTTCAGATTTTGGCGGTGGGTCATCAAAAACTGGTGGGATAGTTTCAGGTTTTGGCGGTGGGTCATCAAATACTGGTGGTGATAAAATAAATTCGGATTGCAGTTTTCTTTAAGTAAATAAAGTATAAACAAGAGAATTAATTCAATATCATGAAACTATATCTTTCACTAGCTGACGAGAGAGTGTTGATTTTTAGCACCATTGAGTTAACCGTGTCTCTAAACTTAATTGACAGGTCTCTGTCTTCACATAACAATTAGAATAGCAGTCATGTTTTCATAACACGTATCACTTACTTGGTGGACATTTTGCCTCCCACAGCAATACAATCACTTATCGACTAAATTTGAAAACTAAAAACTAAGCTTCAGTTTATTTCTTACCTGTTAGACATGAAAATTTACTTTTTTCACAAGAAACCATGAATGCATCCCCAAGCATACAAAGAAAAGTATTCAGCCGAAAGTTAATATCAAATAAAAACAAGCCATTGACAGCAAATAGTAATTGTTTTTGATAAATCTGTGATGTTTCGATTGTAATCTAAATACGTCTCTTTGAAACTAGGGTAATTGAATTGGTGCAAAAGATACAATCGAATCAAAAAGATTTCACCAGGGGAAAAATGCTTACTTTTTTTAAAAAAACTAATACCTTATGAAAACAATTAACTGAGTAACTCTTCTTTGGAACAATTTTTTGGTTAACAATTAAATCGAGGCAACTTCAAAGATAACTTTTGCTTTTATCAAAAAAATGTTTCTAACCCTTGTCACGCTAGTGATTGAAGGTGAAATGTTCCGAACGAGCCATAATCCAATCTTTACAAAAAGAAAAATTGACGATGTAAATCAGCAAGGCAACAATTTTTTTTAGCCCAAGCTTGGACTTTTCTGAGTTATAAGCCAGAGGTAGCTTTCTCATAGAGTAATTTCAGAAAAGGAACTCCGTCTGTTCGTCACGCTATCTTACTTTCGGCCGAATAATTCGTGCAACTCCTTAGTCTAAAACCAATCTTAATCTTACTCTTATATCTCCTAGTCTCAAAAGATCTTGTGTATACTGGTATTTTGCGAGTTAGGTTTGGAGCTTTTCCAAAAGGAGAAAAACTGTAGTCCAAGATTTTTTCAAATTGTTTTGGTGCTGAAACTACAAGTAGTTTCAGCACTATAAATAATTGTCAGTGTTAGTAATGGAATATGATTGATAGTAGGTAATATTTTATAGGGATAGTTTTATCAATAATATAATTGGTTTATAAATACTAGTTTAGAACTGGTTCCACTTTATTCTCTGTACTATGCGCCTCATTCGCGAAGATGCGGTGGATACGATATTGTGTTAAAAGAAGCACTTAAATCAACATAACCGTTGAAGATGTGTTCAGCCCCACAGAAGCAGCTCGAAAAATAATTTTCTTACCGTTAATGATCATCGATCTATATTTTTGGTAATAACTTCGATCTTTTAAAAACCCGATAGTTTCTTCTTGGAGTATGTAACAAGCTGTATGCAGCTGTATACAACCCATGATCACAATTGATAAATGATTTGCAGCAAGGTTAAATTTTAATTCCAAACAAGCCAAAACTATTTCGCCGTTGTTTATAAAAAGTTTCACAAGAGGATATTTGTCCGAAAAAAAACAAAGTATTCGAAATAGAGTAAATTAACCTCATAGAAAGTTAAGCGGGACCCTCATTTATAAAATTACTTCAAAACTGATTTCAAAACTTATTTGAAATTTTAGTTACACAAGGTAAGGCAAATTCCTAAAAATTTACACAAAATTTAAAATTTACAGAGATGTAATGTGCAACGAACATCATCACCGAATTTGATTTTCAAACCATATTCCGAATTACTTTGCAAATTTGTGGTTTAAAAAAGACAGAAAACAACCAATTGGAATGATAGTTCTATCACTCGCAAGCCATATTAAAATAAGAGCGCAAACGATGCGGCTATATGAAAAAATTATAGTTGTACAAATTCTACTAAAAGGATCGAGAAACCCTAACTTCGGCATTTTCCATTTATTAGCATATCTTACAGAAAAACCGTTGGCCTATAGAGTTCCCGGACTCAATTATCCATGAGGTTTTTCCTCATTCGCCAGCTCCACCCACAAAAATTGTTGAAGGATAATCTGTTTTGTTTTCTACAAGTTAACTCTTTTTAATTTTGATTAGCTTGGCTGTAAGTTTCAAAGGCACTGAGATAGTTCGAATTAAGCTATTGAAAACAATAGCGGAAGGTAAGCCCACAACAATCAATCCAATTGACGTGAAATCCATATGATAATCCAGAAATGATTGTTTCACATTTTGACACTGTTTTTATATTCGTCCGTAAGATATGAGAGAAAATAATTCACTATAATCATGAGCTTACTAACTTCTATCAGAACTGCATGCTCAGGATTTTTAAGTAGTCCTTGAGTTCAATTAGTCTAAGACGTGACCAAGGAAAGGACTGTAAACCAATTTTAAAAAAAAATATGTGCAGAGCTTCAAAGAAATTTTCCGAAAAAAAGTCAATTTCGGCTCAACCAATTGAGCTGAAGTACTGAAAGTTGGACTCAACGTAGAAGAAAACGACAACTTTAAATCTTTTTATGCCGCCGAGCCATATGAAAATGAAAAAAGCAGGAGATTGTTACACGCACTTCGACTAAAAATGTTAAATAAATAACATTCTGCGATCTTGAAACCATGTTCTTTATTAATAATGTTTTGAGGTTTTAGAAAACTTTTTCAGACAGACATTTACGAAACGGATGACCGTTAGAAGGCAATGGCGCTGAAGAAAAATATATTTGGTAAACCTTCACAAGCTTATTTTTTTGCTAACTCAGTTGAAATTTCTGAGTCGTTGATTGTAGGAATAACAATAGTTACTTTTGGTTGTGAGATATTTCAATAGGTAGAAATATGCAGCTAACTGGCCTGAAAGATAATATTTTTGATAAAAGCTACTAATAAAAGATCTAATTGAAATTACAAACAGAGAATCTGAAAAGTGTGACCTTTTCCATTTTCACCACTTGGTTGTCTCAACAGATATTTCTGTTGCTAATAAAAGCAAACTCAAACATTTTCAGCTGTTAACTATGCAAATTTTGATGACTTGAATCAAATGCCAACAAAAAACAGAGCTGACATACAGTTCGAAAAGAGTCAATGAATGAACGCAAGAAAATAGAAAAAAAACTGACTTTTTTTTTCGAAAAAATCTTTGGAATTTCATAGAAAAAAATTGGTGGCCTTAAAGCTCTTTACATTTCAAGAATACTTTATAATTGACTTTTTTCTGCTAAAACTAGATGAATTTGGAAAAACTGAATCAATAGGTAGCTTTTGTATTTCGCTGGAAATCTGAAAATTAAATTCCACTTTCGAAACTAGAATTCGATCACGTTTTTCGTGACCTTTACATTTTTGCTGTTCGATAATGAAGTTTTCCTTCCTCTTAACAAAGAAAACGAACTGACCATGAAAAAGAATACAACCCTACCTTAGTACGACTAAATGAAAAAAAAGTCAAGCCGCGCGAAAAAGTAAACTTGAGCCTGAAAACTTTGAGTCTTCCTGGAAAAAAAAACAAAAAAAAAATCATCGCGACCTACATAAGAGTCTGAACTACGTTCACCAACTTTTAAATTTGACTCACATGATTGAAAGGTTATCTGAAAGACTACGTACAACCCAATTACAAAAAAAATTGCCCTCAAAACTTAAATGAAACTATGCATGCAATGACCATGTGTTCATAACACGACGAAATTTTATTCATAATTCTTTTTTTAATTATTATAGAGGCGTATTGAACGACAGTATCTAAAAACTTTTGAAGAATAGAAGCTTTATCCGATAAAAAGACAATTGACTTTTGATGGCCAAAGTTTACTTCGGAGGACGACCAATTGTCATTCAATTCACGATAAAAATAAAAAGATGTTTTTAAGATAAACTCACCCCTCTCCTTAATAGTTAATCAGAATATGATTTATCCAAGTATTCTCAAAAAATATTTGCAAAATCTGACAAAGAAATACCTTGATGAACACTCGCGTAGATCCAGGGATAGCCAGATTGAATTAGGTTTTGTAACTTCGAACTATGATTTGAAAGAAAGATTTTTGATAGTCATGTTTAATATCAAATGCAGACTAAATAAATCTAAAATTAATATTAAACATTCTTATTGTATTCACAACCATTGAAAGTATCACGTGCTTATTATTTAGTCTCGGTTTGAACAAGTCTACTTCATACTAAGCTTAATATATTTAACAGAAAACTTTTAAACAATGCATGGTAAAACAAAAAAATTATGATTCAGTGCTTCTATCTTCTTTTTACATAAACCTCAAATCTAAAGCTATAACTAGTGGTTTAACAAAATCTGCATGCAGGCCAAGGCATACTTGGTTTGATTTGGGTAATTTTTCCATATGCCAAACTTCATTGCTAAGGGAGGTGAAAAAATTAGTTACTAATTAAAATCCACGGGCGATGGAGGAATAGTACAATAGAAATTGACATTTTATTCGCTCGCAACTGCCGCACTATCAATCCTAAAATTCAACTAAAATCGGTTAATGAAAATCAGCAGGGGCATTAAAGATAAAAGAAATCGAGAGTTACGACCAAAGAAGTGTCCAAGAGCAGAACCATCTGTGCCAAACTCTGCCAACCATTGTAGGATGCATGTGATCTTCCACCATTCTATCTATTAGGAAACTAATTTACGGCTCATTAACTAATTCAATCGCAAACAGTAAACAAACAGGCTCACAAAAAAATCCAAAAAAAATGGAACATTTTTCATTTTTTTTCTATTTTTTGACGTTCAGAAGTTTTCAATAACTTCCACCTCTTTGAATTAGTCAATAAAATTTGAGAGCAAATGAACTGTAAGTCGATTTAAAAGAAAATAAAAATCAAACCGCGAAAAAAACTTCAGTGTTAAAAAATTTATACAGCGGTGAAAGTCAGCTTCATTTCGCTAACGATGGAAAAAAATGAGTGCAAAAAACCGAGTTTTTTCAACAATTAGCAGAACATCTAAAAAATACCCAACAGAAAAGGAAAAACGATTTAAGTAAGAACTGAAGGAAACCAGAAAAAAAAACATTTTGAAGAAAAAATTAAAACCACACCACATTGAAGCTCTTTATATTCTGATTGGCACATTTTCCCTAAATTATCAAATTTAGAGAAAACTTGATCAATAAACAACTTTTTCATGCTTAGAAATTATAAAAATCCATTTTTGAAACTAGCAAGCTTTCATTTCTTTTCGTGAACTTTGAAAGAAATCAAGAGTCTAATAGTCTCAAATCTAATTTGAGCGTAAACAAAATTCTGGTTTTCCTGAAAAATAATTACGGACTGTTCAGCTAAAAATGTAAATGAGAAGATCAATAAACAAATCTCAGCCATTCACCTGCTAGTCAACTTATACAGGTTGAAAAAAATTAGTAAGACTTAAGCAAAATTACAGAGCGAAAAATTCCGTAAATAGAAATCGGAACATTTAGCAATACAAAAAATTAAAAAAAATAAGAATAATTGAAACAAAAATAAAAGTTGACTGTAAATCGACGAAAAATTAAAATTGCAAGTTATGGAAGTTTTTTAAAACTTTCTCTTATACAGAAGCTGAATTCATTATCAGTAGTTACCAAATAGTTTTAAACTAGCAAGAACAGTTACAGGCAAGTATAGCCAGTTGCTGCTTACATAACACTGCTAGCTAGTGCCACAAGTGAAAGTTTTTTTCTTACCTTTTTGTATATTTTGACGTTCAGTCAGAAACTTAGAATTGTAACCACCTCTTTGAATTAGACAACCAAATTTAGGATCCAAAGCACCGTGTAACTTTGAAATAAAATGAAAATCAAATCGCGAAAAAAAAATCAGCGTTATTAACTTTATACAGAGTTAAAGTGATTACATTTTAACTCTGTTAATGCTAAGTAATCTTAGATAAACATCGCAGCAGAGTTTTAAGAAGCGGTCATGAAGCCGACAAAACTTGATCAGACAGCGATTGAGCCGGAAAACAATGTATCAAAAACTTTCAACTCAAAAAACAACTAAATTCTCTCAGTGAAAACACGCTCAAACTCACACTCAACAAAAATATTATTTGATACTCAAAAACATTATCTCATTATGAAATCAAAAAGCCGATATAAAATAAGCCGAAACCGATGGAGCCGAAAAAAAATAAGGAAAAAATGAAAATTAATATCACCTGTGGTAAAATTACAATCAACAAAACCAGCAAATTGTGACGAAAGTAGATTAGGAGATGATAAAGTGATTACATTTTAACTCTGTTAATGCTAAGTAATCTTAGATAAACATCGCAGCAGAGTTTTAAGAAGCGGTCATGAAGCCGACAAAACTTGATCAGACAGCGATTGAGCCGGAAAACAATGTATCAAAAACTTTCAACTCAAAAAACAACTAAATTCTCTCAGTGAAAACACGCTCAAACTCACACTCAACAAAAATATTATTTCATACTCAAAAACATTATCTCATTATGAGTTCAAAAAGCCGATATAAAATAAGCCGAAACCGATGAAGCCGAAAAAAAATAAGGAAAAAATGAAAATTAATATCACCTGTGGTAAAATTACAATCAACAAAACCAGCAAATTGTGACGAAAGTAGATTAGGAGATGATCACCAATTTGAGTCATCCTGTGAACTAAGTCATGGTAACAGAAAACGGAAACCGGTTGCAATAACTTTGCTTAGGCAGGGTAAAATTGTAAAACCTCTGTCATTCCTATATTACAAGAGCTTTTTCAAATGACTTTGGAACATAGGAGAAGCGAAAAAAGGGCAAAAATAAGCTCTTAAAGAGTAAAAAGGAGATAGAATTTCGAAGAAAAAAAATAGATGACCTTGAAGCTCTTTGAATTTGTATAACAATTTATTATAAATAATGTATTATGAACAATTTAGTTTTTTCAAATTAACCCAATTTGAGACAACTGAATCAATAGCCAAAAGTTTTATTTCGCAGGGAAATCTGATAAGTAACTTCCATATTCGCAATTAGAAGTCGATCACGTTTTTCGTGACCTTAACAATTTTGCTGTTCGAGAGTGGAGTTTGCCGTCCTTTTTAACAATGGAAATGCAGTGAATTTGAAGAGAAATCACAAGTCAAACCGCGAAAACCAAAGTTGAGCGTGATCAAATTTTAAAACTTTTTCCTCGAAAAAAAACAAAAAAAATAGCAAGACCTATAAAAGAGTATTCACTACGTTCATTACTTTAAACACAGAGGTGAAGCTGCGCTTCGCAAACACAAGCGAGGAAAATGCACAAAAAAAAATCTCTAAAAAGGCGAAACAAAGCGAAATAAGGAATAAGTTAAAAAAGACACCTTGAATTTTTTTTGCTAGGATCAGGAATAACACGTTCTCGTACCTACTACAAGACCGTTGTTGATTTTACTTACTTTAGCCACCAATGAAGCAGCTACAGTTTCTATCTTATTGCCAATGCACGAAAAATTCGACCAAAAAAAAACAAAATATTTCATTGTTCCTCATTTGGATCTCCTACTACCTGCTGATTAGGACATCCTCAAATTCGCGCCACTGATACCGAAATACGTAATTTCTAAAATTCCAAAACAATGAACTTAACGCAAAAGCCTAGTTATTTTTGTTTAGTAGTGGATTAGCCACATATTTAAAGGAAAACAACTACTAGTCACTCTTGACAGCGTAAATTTCGAGAAAAGTGAAAAAAATTCCAAAAACGATCAAAAATTCAAACAATTTGGTTTTTCCTAAGCTCCTAAAAATTTCTCTACTAGAGCATGGGAATAGTCTCTTATACAGAGAAGATTTCCACACTCTGATTTTTAGGTTGAAAACTTAATGTCGACTTTAGCCAGTAGTTTTCGAGAACATAGATGAAATTTCTTTAAAAAACAACGGTAAAAACTACAAAAAATGTCGAAAACTTTTTGCGATGTCCATATCGGCTTTTCTAAAAAAATGTGAAACACATTACACAGGAAAAATCTATGGACGATGTCAGTTTGAATGAATTATCAACCTCAGAGTAAGCAGGTTGATGAGGCCATATTTTTTCAAAACGCAGGGCATAGCCGCTTGCTCAGGGAACATTTGATACCACGTTCTTTCTTTCGCTTGAACCCTTGGTCTTAGATTTGGCAGGTTAGTTTTTGAGAAAAGTAAAAAAAAATTAACCAAAATGACAAAAAATGGGCTTAATTGAGGCCATAAATTTTTTTCTTCAAAACTCAGGTAATAGCCGCTTCAGAAGGAGAGATCCCAATGATTTATTCTTTAGCTTAAACGTCCATTATACATTTAATATTAGACAAAAAGAAAAAAATCAGCCGGTATTTCCATTGACACCGTTGTTTTAAAAATTAGTTTAGTAGTTTTTGAGAAAAAAGGAAATTTTTGTGAAAAGTGCAAAAAATTACCAAAGCGTCGCAAAAAAAACAACAAAAATTAACAAATCCCATACATTTTCATAAAACTTGTTGTTTTCAAACAGGACCTGACACTAGCTCAAAATAAACCAGCAACATATGCTATTAAATTACCTATGCTTAAATACGCTTAAATATGCTTCAGTTGAAATATACCAAAAGTGCCACTAATGAGCACTTTTATTTGCAACTTAGGTTGGAAAAAAAATTGTTCGTATTAATACACTTCGCTTCGCATGTGTAAACACTGCATTGAACCTACCATTGATAACTATTGATTCTACACTGTTGATTTTCGGAGCCAAAAATAGCCCAGAATATAACCTATTTTGCTTGGTTTGAAAAAAAACAGTGTGTAGTGTTAATTTTAACATTGAAAATGTTCCATGTTAATATACTTTTTGCTGGTTTAATTACTCGACATTAGAAAAGTCACATGTAGAGTCTCAATATCTCAAATTAATTCATTCTAGTTATATTTTGGTTACCATCTCAGTCCTCTTAGTGCATCCATGCTCTGGTTATAGTCAAATACTCCTTCAGTGGGTCCGTAAGCTGCTCTCGCAAACTCTTGGTCTCTAATATATTCCACACCAACGTCTTGAACTTGATCCACCGACAGCGACTCCAGCTCTGAAACCGTCTCCTCCAAGCTGACTGGCCTTCCTGGTCCAAAAAAGATATCCTGAGCCATCTTGCCTTGTAGAGCAGGTAAACTATACATATCTTCAATCAGTTTCCTTTTAAGGGATCTTTTAGCCCTGGCAAGGCTGCTGTCAATCATGTTCAGACACTGATCTCTCAGGAAATGACAAATATACAGTCCGGTGTCATAGAGGTTATCAGCGTCCGCAACGTAATGGGTTCCAAACAGCCCACAGTCGCTGTAGAAATGGGCGAAGGGTCTGATCGAATACAGTCCAGTTTCTGGGTTCTGAGTGACAGCACCCATTTTGTTCAGACCTTGCGCAAGACCACCGTGAGATTTATCGTGGGCGCCCATTATTTCAGCCAGAAGCATCAGGGGAATTCGGTCGGGACTGTTGTATGAGCACCCGTTGAATCCCATAGCGACGTGAGCTAAAGGCAGATCGTCATCTCTATGCTGAACCTAGAACAACCATTATTTGCCTAATTTCGCTTCATATCCGTCATTAAAATTGAATCATTTGGAATCCCAACTTGAACTTTATAAAGCCTCATCGTACAAGAAATATGCATGCAGAAAAAAAGCCAATCTTCCCACAACTTGCGATGCAGCAAGTTCTCAGGTAAGAAAAAATGACAAAAACCAAAAAAATTCCACGTAAAATCAAGAAAAATTGCAAAATTTTCAAAAAGCCAGAAAATAGATTCAGAGAAAGATATCCAAACAACAAATTGAGTCTGATTCCAACAGTAGATATTAAATTAAAGAAAAGAAGTAGACAAAAAAATCAAAAATTAATTTTTTAATTCTTAAGTGTAAGCCCTCAAGTTGGTTTGGAAATTTCTAAAAATAAATTTTTGAAATTTCTAAACCAACCTGAGGGCTTACTTTTAAAAATGAAAAAATTATTTTTTGTACGCTGGAACTCAGATAAAAAAACTAGAAAAAACAGCGGGTAATGTGCCGAGAGAATTAAAGCCGAAACCCAATAACCCAGATTTCTACCTAAATTTTTAACGGATAAAAAACAGTATATATCAAATTACATATATACCACCGATGAAGCATCCACAATTACAGCTTCGTAATTTTGTCATTAACGTTGTTTGTTAGCAAAGTTATTTACGGGAAGGGCAATAAGGTATAAAGAGCCGTTTTTCCCTAATACGAGTATGGTAGGTATTTGATCTAAGTGACCAGTTTTCAATGAGGTTATAATCTGGAGGGATTGGCTGTATTGTCTCCATCATACCTCCATTGCAGTGAATCTGCATGGCTGTGGGTATCCGGTAGCATGCTCGAAATCAGCTGAGACATCTCCAAGATTCTTTTCAGCCGCGTCAGCCAACTTATCAAGGTCAACTTGTCCTCCTACAGTAGTAAGAATCATCCTCGGGGCTTTGTAGTTGTGCTTGATAAATTGCATGATGTCTTTTCTCGCCAAAGACTCGACGTTACTAGTCGATCCGGTGAGAGGATTGCTCATTGGAGTGCCCTCAAACGCAACCGAATAAAGATAATCCATTGTGATCTGGGGTAAATTATCCAGATTTCGTTCAATATCCGTCAAGATGGCGTCTCGTTCCTTCATAATGGCATTTTCATCGAATACTGAGTTCTTCACGACATCGCTAACAATTTCTGCATGCTGTAGAGCATCTTTGCTAAAACCTGTTACCACAAAAGAAGTGGTCTCACGGGTCACATTCACATCCAGCGAGGCCCCCAATTTTGACAGTTTCATTTGCATGTCTTCGAATTTGGATGAAGAGGTGCCTTTTCCCGCCAGTCTCGCAATAAGGTTGGAAACTCCGTTAGTTTCAGATGTCTCATTTCTAGTTCCAGCCTCAACGTGAATGGCCGTCGAACTGATTTCTGAATCATTCGTGAAACAGGCTACCCTAAAATGATCAGGAATAAATTGACAGTTATATAAATTTAACGGAACTAAATAAGCTTTGGGTACATGCCCACTATGTCGAGAACAGAAAAAAAGGCCATATGAAAATATTGTCATAAAAAATTTTATAAGAAAAACTTATATTTCAGAAAAATAGTCGAGAAACACACAACCATCGTTGAAGCAGCTTATAGCTTTAAGTTAAACCGCTCCTCCACTAAGCCAACAAATGTTGATTTAATGACCATGAAACCGAAAACCAAAAAATGCCATAAGAATTTGTAGTCTTAAGAAACTTTGAGCTACTATTTTAAAAACTTTATAGTACAGCCGATCTGAATTGTTTTTTTTTCTAATGACAATCAATTTTGACCTCACAAACGACACAAAATAAGTTAAGCCAATAAAGCATAAACCGGAACCATATGGGCTATATAACACTTTTGAGCAAAAAGAAAAGAAGAAAATATACAAGTCAGGGTGAGTAATTTTTTTAATAACAGGAGCCAATCGATAACACTTCCAGATACAATAAAAATAGCATGCAGCACATGAAAACTCCGCGACGAAGTAACAAAGCCTGTAAAAGAAGTTGTTCCCGGAAAACAATTGCAATTTATACATGCTGAAAAAAACAAGGTCCGGTTAACTCTAGAACATGGGGCAAGGAAACTCAACGCTGATAAGGTTCAATAATAAAGCAAGTTCCATTTCTAACAGATTTGTATAAAAAATGTTTTTAGGAAAAAAAAGTCTAGTTGCCGATCACAATTCCGATTAATATGTACCGTCGCCGAACACCAAGCTCAGAGCTAGATATATAACTTCATAACCAGATAGATAACTCCAAATTTTATTTAGAAAATTTAGCGAGAAAACACCTCGTGTCAATGAAACAATGATTATATTCAACAATATGGGACCGATTTTACTATGGGACCGAATACATCAACATTGAATAATTCTGATGTTGAAAAAAAACGAGAAGTTCAATTCCATTGAATCTAAGCATTCTGAGACAACTTTCAAAAAGTCGATGTTGATATGGCCCCATATGGGATTATTACTAAACTTTCACTAAATTTTCCATGCAATTCATGATTACGACTCAAGGTGCATTATACAACAAGGATACCCGGTGGCTGTGCAAGTAGCAGAGAATGTTCATAAAAAAACTACCAAAAACGTTTTTTATCAAGTTTTGTGGCGTTTTTTTGTAAGACCCATTTTCGGGGTGAAGTTCTGATTCTGAATTTTGCAAAACAATTTCCATCATAATGCTTCAGGTAAAAGTTTTGCTCTTCACTTTTTGTCCAATCCCAATTTGAAAAAAAAACGCGTTTCAAAATTCCAATGTTGTTCGTTTTCTCCATATGATTGAAATCAGTATTGAAAGATGAAAACTATGCATGAAACATAGTTAATGCCGAAATAATGGCAATATCGGTGACCTTGAGCTATTCAATCGGTCAAAATTTAAAGAACTTTAGGTTAACTCGTTTTTTTGGTACACGGTTTTTACGCGTGGAAATCAATGAAAAATAGAAATCTGACGTAAAATTGAACAGTTTTAGGTTAATTAACTTCGTTCGGATTCGTTGACCGAAAGTTTGCATTAAATAAAAAACAGAACGGTTGAACTAAGTGGTAGGCGCGAGAGCCCAGTCAGGGTTCTTGGCTTTTTGCTGTTTGCAAGCTTTGCTGTACCTCCTCACAATTGCATCTTTCTAATTAAAAACCTTTCTTTTAGGTTCCCACCTAGATTTGAACTCTGACGTGCTGCGTAACGATCTCCCATACTACTTACTGTGCCAAGCACGCTATAAATTTTAAAACAAATCAAATTATTACATAGCGAACCACATGAACAATTGATAATAAATTTTTAGAAGATGCGTTGTCTGTCCGGCTGTTCCGTTCGAGCCCTTGTGGGGATGCGAAACAACCTATTAGTGCCAATTCAATCATTTGAATGACATTGCAGTCCAACTTAATCTTAAAATTTCAATAAGTTCAAATTGATCACAGTAAAAAAGAGTAAGAGTTGAACTGTCGAATCTGGGACTCAAACTGACTTCTTTGGTATATTGCGCAATCAATTTCCCTTTCACTCTCAGTTACTGGTAAGTTCACAGTTAATAGCAGTCAAGAAAAAAATCTATCATGAAAGCATATAAAATCAATTAAAAAATGAAAAGGGCAAAAATGGGAAAATCAAAATCTGTAAATCAAACTGAGCAGCCTCCAAAACATTCCTATTTGAACAACAGATGAAATGAGTGATACAAAAACCCACAGGTATTAACCTTTTTTGGTTTAGGAGATATGAACGTTTATTTTTCGGATTACATTTGATACACTTGACCACTGACCTTTTTCATTACGAAAAACTTTTAAAATTTTTCAATACTACTTATAGGCAAGTTGAGAAAATATAGTAAAACTATTTTGTTTCCGATTAGGATTTCAACCTGGTCACACGGTTTGTGAGACCAAAACATACATTTGGCTATGAAGGTACTTAACAATATTATAAATTTCCAAAATTTATCTTTCTCCTTTTAATTCCCCGATTATTCCTGAAAAAAAATAGAACTTCTCCCAGAGAAGTGGAACGAAATTGCACTTACAATTTGCGTGTTCTCTAGTTTGGGAAGTGAGTCACAGTGAAAAAAAAACGAGGAAAAAACAGCGGTAACTTTGCGAGAACGGTTTTATAACCCCCAAAAAGCATTACGTTAAAAACTCACGGTGGCCCGTTAAAACTGGATTGAACTCGCCCGCCTGTGCGCGCTCGTACAAACGGATGGTGGAAAACGCCAACCACAGAAAATTTGAACAGCTTGATTTAGAAGCAGGGGAGCGGTGGTGAAGTGGTTACGTCTCCGCCTCTCAATCGAAAGGTCGGATGTTCGAGGCCCACCATGATCCGTGCTCGTTGCTTGAGGGTGAAGCAACATTGGCCAGCCAAGAAAATAAACCAAAAAAAAAATGCACGAAGTTCTTAAACAGGGGCACAACAGCGGTTCGCCGTGATGAGCTGCACGGCTCTTGTGTTTGGTTGGGTCCTTTCCCCCGTGGATAAATGGTCTTTAGTACGTTTAGAATTGGAACGATTTCAAAAGGTTCATTTAGCAAATTTCCAAGCGATCGAAGTATGATCCAGACTTCGCGACAAACTGCCCAGCAGTAGTGCAACAAAGAAAAAAATATATAAGAACATTTCCCCGACAGGCTCCTCAGGCAGCTTAAACATTAATGTTTTGTTTCATCTGTTGAAATATATGTATGTCTAATTTTAATTTAAGTCTCTTCTTAGCTTCAATTTGTTAATCAAGCAGACTTAAAATTTAAGCATTGCAAAATACGATAAAGTTTAAATTTCCCTCGCTTCTGAAAGCTTAAACGTGGGACATATGGTATAGCTTATTCATGTGGAGATATGCAGATGCATTTAAATATATTCCGATTTTTTTTTGTGGCACCTGATTTGGCGTGGAAAACAGAAACGAATTCTAGAAAAAAAAACGAATATAAAGTTCCTCCCCATTTTCAATGATCGGAACAAAGATAAATCAAGTGTTCCATCTTACTCGCAAATTTAACATAGGTTTTTGTTAGTCTCACAATTTCGATCTGTTATTTTTAATTTATGATTACATGAAAAAGACTCGTTAGCATAGTATCCGTCGCGCTTTTAATACCAATATTACCCAAGAGAGTCTACTAAGAGAGGTAATCAACACTTTCGGTTAGTTCTATTATTTAGGTTGGTTTGTTGCAGCGCACCCAATTAAGAGGCACATCCAGGCCACAACACTTATGTAGACGCCCAATAAGCCAAACAAATGAAGTAATTACATTTTCAAGTTTAAAGTCTAAAAAATTTAATTTTTTGAACTTTCAAATGCCTCTTTTGAGCAAAATCAAACGAAAAATCCAAGTTCGCTTTTAAAAACACTACCTAGTATGGATCAAGTAAGCTTTTAAATTAACCGAAACCTTATAACAAAAAAATTGTATAGCTTAATCAAACCTTGCACCAAATCGGAGCTACTATTATAAATAGAGGGTAATTAGAATTTATTTTTCAAGAATTTGAGCATTTTGCCCACATTAAAATGATCGCAAATAATCAAGAAGTTACTGAGAAAATTCTTACACTGGAAAACAGTTTAGCTCTTGATAACAAGAAAAGCGCTCTCTCGAGTGTTAGGAAAAGAATATCAATTATCGTAAGCGTAAATGCATACATCAATGCCAAATCTCACGCGTAAAACACCATCGAAACAAAAATGAGTTTTTCTTGTTTTTTTTTTTTTAATTTCCAATTGATTTTATTAGTATGGGGAAAACCTAGTGACATTTGGTAAATCTAGAACTGAAACAGCCGTAGTGTTAGTGGTTTGACATTTTCAGAGCTGTGCAAGATAGTCTGTGTAATGAAGTATATCACAGGCGAAGCTGAGCTCCGCACAATTTGATATACAAATTTGATTCAAATTCAAACGGAAAAAATTGAAAAATTAAAAAAAAATCGTTTTTGTCAATCAAACATTGTCAATAAAAAAGCGGTCTCAATCAGTTGTGTCATCTCTACGCCAGATGCACCGGATGGTTGATTGAATTTATAATTACGATGCGGTAACAAAGCCAAAAAAAACCTGAGCAGAAACCTTTCATGCCGAAAAAAATTCAAAAACATTCTAAGCTAATAAATATATTTCCCCTCAGAGCACACGCACGCAGACGAATTTTTTCTTGATCCCCGAACGCGGCAATAAGAGGCCACTAGGTCAATATAAATTAAGCCGAAACTTATTAACCCGATAAAAAAGACAAAATGAAAAAAAATGAGAAATCTGGTTAGTAAAATTACAACCAGTATTAAAAAAAAATCGATTCTGCCAAACTTTTAAAATGCTAAAACATTTAGAGCCGCTACAGTGAAAATTGCTTACAGCAAAATCAAAACAATTCTTAGATCTGGCAACTAAGCCGATAAAACATTTCAAGACAAGTAATAAGCCGATTTTTTTTGAACCAGAATATTTACCATTTGAAAAAAGAACAGGTCCTAGTCAGATTCGAACCAGAGACCTTTGACGTCCCGGGCATATTTGTTACTTCCAGGCTAAGTATGCAGGAGACACTAAGAAATTTGAATTCATTATGAACCAAGGTACTACGAGTCCAGATGAGTCATGTGGACAAAGCTCTTTACGGGAAAAATAGTGCAGTACCAGATTGCAATGCCCTTGCTTATCGCTAATTATTATTGTTTAATTACTATGCTAAGTTTCATAGAGATAGGACCTGACCACGACGTAAAAGGAATCAACTTTCCTACTTACCTCAGGTCATTCCCAAGCGTATATGCCCCTGGAAGTGTCTGGGAGGCTGTTTGAGCCTTCATGTGACTTTCCGCTGATTTAACGACATCTTTTGAGGCTGCTCGAAACAATATTTTATTCGTCCCGTTTTTAAAAAAATTTACAGAGCAACTTTTCAGCATCCCGATTACCTGAAATTTTTCAGAGATTAAACCATTTCTTCACAGAAGCAAAACAAATTTGTCAAATTTTTTCCAATCTTTCTACAAAAGACCTGAAGGAGTCGCATTTCAATTCATTAATGTGAAGAAGGATCAGAACAAGCTTAGTGTAGATTAAATCAAACCTGATTAGCCAGACAGAAAAGACTTGGCTACAAAATTGCAATTCAAGTGGTCCAAAAGTTCATAGCAGTATTTAGACAACCGCGTATTCATAATCGTGTACGCTTTGCTTTGCCAGAAGCCATCATCATCAATCTTACCAACATTGCGAATCAAAAAGTTACTGTCTTCCGAAGAACGAAAAAATTTGCCATTCGAACAAAATGACCTCGCAAACTCATGGTGAAACGAATGTTAATTTATGGTGGTCGGATCGTACGATAGGCCGAATTTAGTGATTAACTTTGTTTTTTTTTAATCTTTCTCTCTTTTTTTTATTTTCTTTATCTTTTTTATCTTTATTTCTCCTCTTTCTTTCTAAATGTAATCAGAAGGTCAAAAGTATCATTAGTAATCGAGGTTACAGTCAGGAGTCCCTTCATCACGTATTCCAGTCAAAATCCATAGAATTTTCTAGATATGGAAGTGATAATGATAAGAGAAGATGACAAGTGTTTAAGTCCTTTTCAATTAAAGTCGATACGGGCTACGTTTCTTCAATAAGAACACGCAAATCGACGAGAAAATATAATATACAAGAGTTACAAATAAAAATTTCGTCGAAAGTTATTTTGTCATTTATTGTTCCCAGTACGCAAGCGGCGTCTGCAATATGTATTGCCAAAGAGATTCTCTGTTTTAAAAAGCTGCCTGATCTGGGTTCCTCAGTGCATATGCTTAGGTTCTTACAAAGCTTGCTCAAAAAAATTTCTGTGCTGGGGCCGGCCGCGCCCTGAATTTCAAAAGTTAGCGGTTGAAAAAGATATCCATCATCTACAAGATCTTTATACTTGTCTTTTTTTTCGCTCTTCCGCTTCAGCGGCAGCCGTACCAGGGTTACAAACAGATCCGGCATTAATCCTGCAAGGAGCTAAGGAGTCTACTACCGTTTCAGGTTATACTACTAGTTTCAGGTTATATGAGTTTCGAGCTGTTCAATGATGGTAAAAAAGAGATGATAGAAGCAGAACAAGCAGATGATGCTTGACTAGGCTTTCTCAACATCCTGCAAATGAATGTAAGAAGTCTCATAATTCTCGAACGACGAATGAAGTTTGCAAATGCTATAGCAACATCAAACTATGACATAATATGTCTCTGCGAGACTTGGTTAAATGAAAACATTGCATCATCTGAATTAATGCTAAATGAATACAGTATTTATAGATCAGAACGACAAACAGCCAAAGATCAAAATTTGCACGGTGGAGTACTAATGGCAGTGAAACAAACATTTTCATCTAAATTGTTGCCAAATAAGCAACCTGAATGTTGTTTAACTTGCAGCATCAAAATAAACGATAAACGAATTATTGTCTGCTGTTTTTACAATCCACCTTCGAGCAGCAAATATCGCTATTGTCTAGGCGATTTCGCACAAGTTTTAAATGAAATCGAGAAATCAAATCAATCAACTGCAACACTTATTTGCGTAGATGTAAACTTTCCCAATGCAAATTGGATTGACTATAGTAGCACGGAAAATGAAGAAAACTCAATAATTGAACTAATCGAGCAACATCAGTTCGAGCATGCAATAGATTTTCCAATTTGTGGCAAAAATACCCTAGACATTACATTAATCAAAAATTGTCACATTCATGCGACTCCTGACAAAAATTTCTAAAAAATTTACAATTGCTCCGACCACAAAGCAATCAGCATTCTAATTGAATGTCCTCACCATGAAGTAAAGGTCGCAATTGAAAACTTTCGAAGCTTCGGTAGCGTGGACTATAATGAAATCAAGAAATCAAAACTAAGTGAGCCTTTCTCACCAGTATGTCACACAAACATCAATAGAATGTGCGAGGAACTTTACGACTATTTGGAAAATTTGGTAAACCAATATGTGCCTAGAAGGACGAGACGTCGCCAATCACTTCCGCCATGGGTTACGCCAAGTACCTCAAACATCATGAACAAACTGCAAACACAAACTAGAATATACAAAATGAAAGCTACAAGCTACCGCAGAAATCTCATTCTATCTCTAAATAAAATGGTGGAAGAAGCAGTAGAGGAAGATAGAGTAAACTATCAGGAAAATTTGATGTCCACTCGTAACACACATTTAATTTTCAAACATTTTAAGAGTCTGAAAAAATCAGAAACACTCCCAAAGACTATGATCAAGGACGAAATAGCTGTTTCCAAAGCCAAAGAAAAAGTGAACTTTTCGAATGAATATTTTCACTCTGTATTTTCGCCCAAATCAAGCTTCAACCTCAGTGACATGAAGTGCGAAAACATGATATTGAGTAACTTCAGTATCTCAAAAACATATTTAAACCAAATTATAACAGAGCTGGACATAACAAAATCGCGGGGCCCAGATGGACTCCCACCAATTTTCTTCCAGCAAACGGCCAGAGAAATGACCACAATTTTGCACTGTGTTTTAAAAAAAACATCAAGAGGTTAAGGAAAATACCAGATAAATGGAAAGTTGCGGCTGTGTCGCTTATTTACAAGAAAGGTGACAAACGACTAATGAAAAACTACCGGCCGGTGTCACTCCTCAATATCATGAGTAAACTCCTGGAAAAATGCATGTATCCAGCGTTGTATGACCATTTCATCAAATTTCTTACAAGAAGTCAGCACGGTTTTGTTAAAAACCGTTCAGTTATTACAAACATGTTATCTTGAAAAAAATCTACAAAGCAATTGACAAGAACGCTGAAAACCATGTGATCGCATTCTATACCGACTTCTCTAAGGCATTCGACAAAGTCCCGCATTACGAACTACTAAAGAAAATGAGCAACATTGGAGTTGGACGCTGTTTCCTTGAAATAATTGCAGACTATCTCAGCAACAGGAAACAATTTGTTCGTGCTGACAATTTCTCATCAGAAACTTTAGAAATTACAAGTGGCGTACCACAAGATTCGTTGATTGGTCCATTATTCTTCTGTATCTTCAAAAATGATCTTCCTGAAGTATTGCAATTTAGTGACCCATTTATCTCTGCAGACGACCTAAAATTACTAGCAGTGAATGTAGACACACAGGACGTCCAGCAGGACCTAAAAAGCGTTGAAAACTGGGTAGAAAAAAACAAGATGAGTCTGGCACTGGACAAATGTTTTAAAGTCGGATTTAGAGGAAATCAACACGAATTTATTCTTTGTGAAACAGCAGTGGAAAGCTCGAATGTGATAAAGGATCTAGGAATACATGTGTCCAAACATTTAACATGGAGAACCCATTTTGACTCAAGAATGTCGAAAGCGAATAAAACGTTCTATTGCATCCGCAGAAACTTTGAATTCAAAGTCAAAATGCGCATAAAACTTGGTCTGTACAAATCCTTAATACTTCCTGTTCTAACGTATGGTCTAATTATTTGCAATATCTCAAGAAGCGACTTAGGGAGATTAGAAAGGTTCCAAAAGAAAGTCTTAAAATGGATCACGGGAAACGATTCTGACTATACAGAGCAGCTGAGATTGTTAAACATCCTGCCTCTGGCGTTGTTTCTCCAGCTGAACGAGTTACTGATGATGGCAAAATTCATGCATGAAGAAAACGATCACATTAAGCTCCCGGCAAAAACTGAAAATCCAGGAAGAACAAAAGAAATTTTCAACCTAAACAAGACCAGAACTGAAAAAGCTAGAGGAGAGCTTACATTCAGGACGTGCCGTCTAATAAACCGACTAAATCAGAAAATTGAATTTCGAGAAATGCGAGGCTTAAATCGAAGATTGATACAGATGATGTGGAAGTTTTTCGACGATCAATTCTCAGAACAAAACAAGTGCACATGGGTCCTCTTTTGTGACTGCAACATGTGCCGAAATATTTGGACAAAATTTTGAGAACTTTGGGGATATCATCCCATCAGTATCCTACTGAAAATTCACAACAACAACAACAACAACATGGAACGAGCGTCAAACCGTCTGGTCGCTTCTGATCGGTCCTGTAGAGGTGTCGTGGTTCTAAAACAGACAGAATGTGAGTAGAAGATAAACTCTGCTTTATCAGGTCATTCAGATTTGAATGCCTAGATAATCTCCCTGCACTTTTAAGGCATGGAAGACCATGTCAACCATCCTCGGTAACGTCTTTTCCGCACACGCATTTATGCCGTTCGCAATTTTTTGAGCCTAATCGAAGTCCGCAATTCTGAGTTGTTGGTTCGACAGTTTTAACCTTAGATTTTTGCACGGAATGACGTTCAACCATTGGGAGGCAAATTTATCCTGGAACGCGTTGAATCTTTGTACGTCCGTTGGTTCGAAACGTAAAATCAAACTGCAATTTCGCTGTCAAAAATTGGCTCCGTCCAATTTTTTTGGATGTTTTTTTTGGTAGCTAGTTTAATTTTTCCAAGTTCAAACTGTGACATTCGACCAGAAAGAACGAAAACGCAAAGCTAACCTTCCGAAATGGCAGTTCTAGAGGATTAACAGTGCTATTCAGACGATTGGACGAATCGTGAAGGCTAGAATATTCTGGTTTTTTAAATTTTTAAAATTTCGAATGATGACGTCATATTTCTGAGAAACGTCAAAAACGACCAATTTGGAAGAAATCTGCAATAAAAACAGAACAACAATAGTTGCGACGGCGACAACAACGATAATCGCGATAAAAAACAATAACGAGAATTAAACGAATAGCAGGGTTTGCAGACACCGCTCCGAGTTGCAACGATTGTGTCGCTACAATCGTTGCAAGACCATTCACAACAACGGTGAAGGGTAGAAATCAGCCTTACGGAGAGGAAATAAGGGTGTTATTTCCCCGGATTCAGGAATCAGGAGGGGTCTCGGGACTTGAACTTAAACCATT